ATAGACTTCAAACTTACACATCTGTTATAATACAACAGCAGAGTTTGCTGGCAATGTATTATCAGTTAATTTCTATAATATGCAAAGCCACTATCTCAGACATGAGGATAACCTGAAGGTGAAGGTATTAGGGAACTTTGACAAATGTTACATGACTAGATTTTGCCAAGAGGCAAGACAAGATAAACTGACCGTTTCAATCCAAGTTTGAACTAAACAGTCTACAGAATAGTCTACAGTCTTTCAGAATTAATCAAGGGATGGAAAACAAAAGCACTGAAAGTAATTTTGTTAGTTTCAACCAGGAACCTGTCCAAGATGATGTAAAATGCTCGCCATTGTTCATCACTGTTAACTACCATATAAGAAAATCAAAATAGGTCTGATATTTCCATGAAATAAAAAGGAAATATATCTTTATTTAGTATAAAACATAATGGACTATCATGAAATCAAAGTTGACTCATTTCAGCTCAATAGCACAATGGGCAACGCAAAAGATCTTCAGGAAAGTGGTGTCATTTTAGATTTTCTCGTATATACTGTATGCATCACACCATTTTAAAAACTCAGTGCGAAACTTGAAGACAAGAAAAGCTGTGCATTAGCCTGAAATCAGCCACGCTCAGGGGTCCCAGCTACTGCTTGAGCCGCCCTATTTAACTGCTGCTTGTGCAAACGCGTCATGTTGTTGGACGGGACCTTTCACGGTGCTGAGGAAGCCAAAACCATCAGGACCAGGGAAAAAGATGACTTTTTCCAGGAAAATGTCAACTTTTGCATCTGTGATCAGACTGCAACTGACGATAAGAGAGCTCAGAGCCACCTCCAAGTGGGGGGTTTTGGTAACCCGTGACCCGGCTCGGCACTGCTGTCGCTCTGAAACGGAAACCCGGACTTCGCCTACCTTTGAGTGTTTGCCGATGGGGAGTTCCTCACTTTGGGGTTACTGGAATGCATTGACGGAGATCCCAGGGAGGCAGAGGGGTGACTCAAGTGCTGGTGGGGGCTGGCGTGGGCCTTCTGCACGGCGCGGGGGTTCCTGTGGGCGGCGCTGCGGCTCTCGCGGCTGTCCTTGGCCTCGTCTCGCTCCTTCTTCACTCGCTCTTTCTTGCTGAAATGTGCTCTCTCTTCTTGCACTTCCAGCATTCTTTGCGTGTGTGCCTGGTCTCTCCCCAGGAGCCCTCACATCCCTCGGGCACACTAGAAACAGCCAAATTAAATAACATTAACAGCACAACATGAAAGCAGCCAATGTTAAACACTTACGCACGTACAGAATGCTCATTGGGCCCTCTAGCTCAGCGGAGCAGTCACAAGACAGGTTTGCTCCTCGGAGCATTCCTCCTGAACATGGAAGTCAGCGACGGCTGCTCCCACTGCCAGGCCATCTTTGCTCAACATGCTTGGGGCCAGTCATGCGGCCCTGTCCCATCTCGCAAATCCATCACAAACAGCCCTGGCTAATTCTGCTCAACAATGCCAACTGGTGTTTGGCATATGGAAGACAAACAGGCCACAGCTGGTGCTGGACGTTCCAACCCCACATTATCTCGGGAAACAACAACAACAACAAAATAAAGCTGCACTGTCTGTGTGCATCACAATCAAGAAAATATGTAGGACGGCTTCCAAACTGCCCCAATACCGCAATGAGTCAAAATGACCCCAAAAAAGGACAGAGAAAACTTACGTGCCATGGAAGCATCTGACACAATGAAATCAGACAAATGTTCAAAACTGAAGCAAGGGCCAAGGTATAAACACTTTTTGTCAATGTTTTTTTTTTTACTGTGAAACTATTCCAAAGACTGGCAGGAGAATTTCACCAAGAATAAACAGGGAAAAGCCACTGCTTTGCATTGGGTTCCATGTCAGGTTTTCTGCGCCACTGGGCCTTAGACCTAAACCACTGACAGAACTGGTCTTGCTTGCTACGATATTTTGAATTAATTTGCACAGGCGTATGTTTAAGTGAAAATATTTCACATCTGAGTATTTCATAATACTATAATATTCAACACTAAAAAAACTCAAACTTTCTTGTAGCCATCTGTAATCAATCTTTTGTATTAGATTTTATAATACCTCGTTCCTTTTATGCATTTGCCTTTTAAGATTGAAAAATAGCACTTGCTCAGATGCAAAGGTATTTCAAAATACCACTCGTCCTCATATTCATTAGATGCATTTAAAATAACTAAATTGTATTAACACATCTGAAGGAGACTTGAAATCATTTCAGCTTTTCTCAAAGTGCGCAACCTGAATAGGCATTACACACCTGTTTGCGTTACAGAGTACAACTGCATACTGTTTATTCATGCAGTGCATGTTTTTTTTCCACTGAGAAGACTTCAGACTAAATTTGGATTTTTTGTTATACCAAAAAGATATTACAAAGATTGAAAAGTATGGAGTGATATTACTTGAAGTGATATGAACTCCAAATTACTCCTGAGGTCTCTGAAAGAGCTAGGTTTTCACAAAGCTGGGTGAAAGCTCCGTGCACCCATATTTATTTTATAAATACAACTTTTGGTATACCTCAGCAAAATTCTTGTTTGAGGTGGGGGGGTGGACTCTTTTGCTTTTAATTATTTTTAAAGCACAGGTAATCTTTTCCTTTTTTTCTCGAACTGTGATCTAAATCCCTGTTTTGAGAACACGTACAACAGTCCTGCAGAACAATGTTGTTTTTTTTTGGCGCACACGAAGTTTCAGAAAAATCAAGTGAGAAATCAAAATGAGCTAATCATCATCAAAATCATTGTTTTTATCATGATTAGCTGGGCCGAGCAACCAAAGTGTCTCGTTTTATGTTTAGAGTCCCCACACGTGACAGTGGCCTTCCTCTAAGACTGGGCAGGCGGGAAGACGTGAGGGTCAAGTTCATGTTTTCAGGTTTGACTGGGAAGAAAAACCAGTCAGAATGTCTGAGAGTGGGTGACAACAAGCTCTGTGTTTAACCATCATCGATGCCTGCTGGAATAAGGCGTCTATGCTTTCACTATGAAAGCATGCGTGTGGGGTGGGGGACATAAACCTCTACGGCACATATTTAACGCTGCTGTAGGGCAACAATCCACCAGACTGTACAGGCCATCCTTGAATCATCCATTTCTAAACATATGGAACAACTTCGTTTTGAATGCTTAAGCAGGCAAATTGTACAATTAAGTCATTTAGAAATCATTTGAAATAAAAATACCAACACCCTGTAGCTCTCAAGCTCAACTGTTGGTCATTTTGGCCTTAATTGGACCCATTAACTTATGAAATTGGCCTACAGCATAGCTAGGTGGTTTGTTCCAGGTACACAACACTTGGCTGTGAACCTTCTTTACACACCATCACCGCCTGTACTTCTAACTTCCTTTTGGATAGCCAGGCCTTAAGGAAGTAAAGACTACAAAATGAGAGGACAGGAGCAGGACCACGGAGCTTGTGTGTTTTCTAGCACAGATCTCATCCAGCCGTTTGCTGCAGTCAAAAAAATGCCACAAATTCCTGGTTTCACTGCCAAGCATGGTGTACTCCACCACGCTGACTTCAACAGCTTACAGTTTCAATACTTTGGCACAGAATCACTCTTGGTGAAAAGTAGATGTGCGTTTCCATTATAAAGGGATTAAACAAAAAAAATAAAACACCCAAATGACAAATGTTTGCATGTTTTATAATGTTGAGAAAAATCCTATGATCATGAATCATGTCTACACAGTTCAAGTAATGCAAAGACTGCAAGACAGAGATGGCCTGTTACTGCACATCGAAATGAAGTTTCTTAGTTTTAGTCACAAGGAACATTTGTTCAAAAACCAGATGATTCTATGGTTCATGTATTTTCCATGTTAATTGTGTATTCATTTAGTTGTATTAATTTTGAAAGTATTTTTAAATTGCAACAGCTGTGCCTAAGGAAAAAAAATGTTTATGTCATAAGGGAGCTGCACTAAAACCACATGCTCGTTTTCCTCCAGTACAGCCACTGCTTTCCCGTGCTCTGTAAGGCCCTGCAGAGCCCATTACTGCTGTCCCCCTTGTTCCTCGTGTTAACATATTGCCAAGGTGTGGGAACATGGTGACGGACTCTGGCTGTCCAAGAAGAAGCTACATTCTGTTTCCCGAGGCTGAAGGGCGGCTAGAATTAGGCAACTTTTACAGGTGTCCAGTCGTCAGCGGAAAAATAAGACACAAACCAGTGATCCCAGAAGCCCATGACTCACTGCTTAGAAAGAATACTGCTGACAATTATCTTTGCCCTTTCAACCAGAAAATTTCACTTCCAGCATCAATTGTATGATCCTTAGTATCTGAGCAAAAGTGGGCAGGATTCATCAAAACTCACGAGAAAATAACATTTGCCTGTTATATTTTAGACCTAAAAAATGAACAGATGTACTCAATCTGATTATGAAAAATAAAAATGCAATTCTCATGGTGCTTCACAAACAGGAAACTTCGTCCACACATTTCGAAATGTTATAGAATAGTCAATACTCCCTACCATTCCCTACACTTTGTTTTGTTTTTGTCCAACACTGTGCTTACAGGAAAGTATGTTTTGCGGTTTTGCTAGTCTCATCTTGCAATACCTCTTCCTTCTTTAGTCCGTTACTCCTGCCCATTTCCCTCGGTCTCCAACCAAACAGTGAAAGGTTGTAAATCCCGTGTTACTTTATCACTTTATCATGTACTTTGTTCTTATTCGCTGCCGGATTGTTGCCAGTGAATCTAAAAACAAGAGGTCAGACTTTTGCAGAGGACGTTTCTGGCGGGGCAGAAAGGTTTCTGTCCTTGTACGCATCTCGCAAAGTCTCAGGTGGGAGCCTTTACATACATTCTCTCTTTCTGAAAACAGGAAGGTGTGCAAACTTGTTTTCCGTGGAGGCAGAGGGTTCATTCCTGCACCGCCAACATCGCGGGCCGTTAAATTAGTATTCCTCTCCAGGCTGCGGCACTGAGGCCGGAACGCAAGCTGGAGGGAGGATTTCAAGGGATCAGAAGTGCGGCGGCTTTGTTTCCTGCTCCCGAGTTTAATGGACATCTCCAGGTCCGCTAAGAGGGCAGCGGCAGGACTGCCGCAGCCCCCGATCCCGCGACCAGGATGGGTGGCTGGGCAGCAGCGAGCAGCTCGAGCCCCCCTCCCCCGCCCCTCGGTCACATCCCCCCCCCCGTTTTCGGCACCTGCCCCGTGGGCTGCAGCGCCTGTGCATTCCTTTGTTCTCGGGGGTGCTTTGCCGCGGCGGTCAGGTCAAGCCCCCGCGTGTATCAGTCCCGGCCGACTAATTGGTCGTGAAGGCGGCTGACAATGTCGCCATCAAGAAGCGCTCAAAGCAACAGCCTGGCAAGACACCATCGAGCCTGTGTGACAATACAGGGCTTATTTACGTCGCGTTATCAACTTGCAGCCTTTCTTCCGCCCGCCTGGACCCCCCCCCTCTGCAGAAACACCCCTGCTGTCAGCGAGATCCGCTAACATTGGCAATAACGAGAGCGTGGCTGCGCGCTCTGTTGCAGGATGCGCAAATTCGCCAGCAATCTAAACATTATTCGTTCTTATGAGAAACCAGATCCTGCATCTCACAAATAAACACTGTTACAGCAGTGGTTCAAAGTCAGTCAGATGTCGCCATCGGGAACAGCCCTTTTCAATCCATCATCTACAACCGGTTCTCGGCAACGTAGGAATGTTACAACCAATTTTAACCAACTCCTCACATATACCAAAGATGTCAATACATTGACTGTCACAGGGTGAATATTGGGGGGGGGGTTTATGTTGGGTGGCCAAGTTACCCGAGCATTTAGATTTGAAATGAGCACAACACATACCAATAGAACACTGGCTTCAGCCCCAGTGTATCCTGGGTATATACACTGCTCAGTCACCCGTGGCGACCAGCCACGTTACACTGGTTTGCAGGAGTAGCCCAAGTGCTCACGGGGCCGGGCTGAAACATCCCATTAACGGCCTGCATTAGGACACCCCCTGAAGCCTGCCAAGTGGTACTACAAGAATAATAATAATAATAATAATAATAATAATAATAATAATAATTGCTTACACTTATATGGCGCTTTTCTGGACATTCCACTCAAAGCGCTTTACATGGGGACTCCCCTCCACCACCACCAATGTGCAGCATCCACCTGGATGAAGCGACGGCAGCCATAGTGCGCCAGAACGCTCACCACAC